CAGTGGGCAGGGGGGCCGTGGCTGAGTGCCGTGCCAGCTGGACCCAAGGAAGTGCTGACAGGACACAATGTACGGCTCCACACCCCGCCCACTGTCAATGAATCAATCGACTCACTCAGCTGAAAAATTAACTCAAACCCACAGGCATCCCTTAACCCACAGAAGGTCGCACCGGGAGGTGCACGTCTGGGGCTGAGGCCCAGGGTCACTGCCATCCTTACCCCAGCCCCGGGGGCAGATCCCCACCTCTCTTGGCAAGCAACAGGTCCTCAATCCCAGAGAGCCCAGGCCCTCCCCAGGGCCTCTGTTGAGCCTGCCTCTCTGTCTTCCCTCCCCTGGCTACCCTTCTTTGGCCCATGGCTCAGGCTTGCTGTCATTCCTGGGATTTATTTGCCAAATTATAATTGTGCTCTTAGGTCGTTCGAGGCCTGGCTGGGGCCACAGAGGGCCAACAACGACCAATACAGAGACTCTGCCCTTAGCAGCGTAGGGGAGGCTGAGAGGCAGCCGGGTGTCAAGGGCACTCTAAGAGCAAGCTGAGGATTGAGTGTGAGCTCCAGAGAGAGGACTGTTTCCGTCACCGAGGCTCCCGCCACCCCTGGCAGAGTGCCCGGCACTAAGCAGGTGCTCAGGGAACACCTGCCCAGTGAATGACCACAGGAGGGTACTGGCTAGTGCTGGGCGGAGATGGAGCTAGCCCCGGCCTCCAGCTGCATGTGGCGAGCACCCGGAGAGCTTCCCTGTCTGTAACTCGGTCCCACCCTGAGGTCCGGGCTGGATTGCCCGGGAGCCCTTGGCTGGAGCGTCGGAACCTCCCCAGGGGGCTCTAGCTGCAGCCTGGGCTGGAGCTGCGGCTCTGGGACTCCGGAGGCAGCCCAAGACTGAGAGGGGCCGCCCTCCAGAGCGCCTGGCCCACATTGCATGGCCCTACTGTGGTTCTTCTCGATTTCACGTCTGGCCTTCTGGAATCTTCTTTGGGACTTGGCCCTTCTTTAAGCATCCCTTGCTGCTGCCCCCTTCCTGACCTTGCCCCCCATTAAAGAGTTGCTCAGCCCATCAATTAATTGTGCCCCGATCCAGGCTTGGCTTGGTGGGAGAGGGCAGTAAATCCAGCTGGGTGATCATGCCCCGATATTTGTGTAGGGATAATTACTATCTCTCAGGCCTCGCTTGGTGGCAAGATGAGATGAAAACCCATAAAACACCACTCGGGGCTGAGGCTCATTGTTTCCTGGCTGCACAGGACTGGCAGGCACCAGCAGCGCCCGCCCTGCCCTGGCTCGGGCCCCAACCTCTTCCCCTCCCATTCATGCAGCTGGCAGGCTCGACTCGGGGCAGTCTAGGGGCTGGGGCCTGTGACAATCGGTTAGGGATGATACTGGCCCTGGGGAAGCTGGTGTGTGTGCCAGTGTGGGGCGGGTGGGGTCAGGGAGGGTGGTGCCCATGGCCAGGCATCACTGGCCTCTAGGAGGATTGAGTGTGAGCTCCAGAGAGAGGACTGCTCAGATCTGACCCCCAGGTCTCATCCAGCCAGAGCCTCCTGCCCCCTGGGGTTTCAGTGCACATCCAGCCTGCCCACAGGGACATGGGGGGCCCTGCACTCCCAGGAGACTCGTGGCCTTGGACATCCCCACAGATGGTGTGACCCACAGGGGTGGGCTTCGTTCCAGTGGGTCAGAATCAGGCCTGAGGAAGCACCCAGCTCTGCAGCCCAACTCAGGCCCCCAATTCATGAAGCACTGAGCACCCACCAGGAGCCAGGCTCGCCCCAAGGGCCTGAGGACCCAGGACTGAGTGTCTGGGTTACAAGGATGGGGTTGGAGCCAGGCCTCTGGGTTTGAATCCTGGAGCTTACACGCAGTGTGACCTTGGGCACGTCGGGTAACCTCTTGGTACCTCAGTTTCCGAACTGGTACAAAGTAGGTGCTCAGTAAACACCTGTCCCGTGGCTGAGCACAGGAGCGGATGGCTGGGTGATTCCAGGCTGCGCCTCACCAGCACCGACCTCATGGAGCCTTGTGAGGCCAGTGAGGCAGGAAAGGCCTGGCTCGGGCTGGCACATGGGAGGTGCCACTCACAGTGCCAGCGTTACTATTACTGCTGCTATTGCTTGGTCTCCGGGGCACTGCCTCCCTCACTGCTCCTGCACGCAGTGTGGTCCCGGCGCATGGCGGGCGGGTCAGGGTGGCAGGATCTCGGCCCTGCCCGCCCTGTGGACCGGAGCCTGCCCTGACCCAGGAGACCCCGGGACTCGGCTTCACACTCGCTGAGCAGCTCTGGGCTAGGAAGGGGTCGGCACCCAGCACCTGGCACCTCAGGGTGGCACAGAGCTTGTGGCACGGCATAGCAGGAGTTTGGTGGATGGTGTTGGGGGCTTGAAGGACTTTGAAGCACTGCAGAAAGATCTGGAAGCACCACGAAGGGTGATGGGGGGGCGTTGCTGACTGCGGTAACCCAAGTGGGAGTGGTGATGCTTGACCCGTGGCAGGGGCGGGGGACGGAGAAGATGGGGGGCGGCCACCGGGGCTGCCCGCATCGGGAGGGTGAGGCCGTCTCTGCGTGCCCAGGGCCCGGGAAACAGGAACGCCAAGCTTCAGGCCCAGAGGAGGGCTGGGGGTCTCCGCAGGGACACGGGCGTCCTGGAGGCAGGAGGAAGGAGGCGACTGCCTGGGGAGGGCCAGCCCCAGAGCCCTCTCGCCGGCTGGTGCGGGAGGCCGCGGCCGTCCTTACCTGAGAAGGCGTTGTTGGTGTTGAGGAAGTAGATCTCCTCCCGGCCGTCCCCGTCGATGTCGCAGGCCGTGACCCCGATGGCGTTGCCCTGCCGGTCCCGCAGCGCGTAGTAGGGTGAGCTGCGCTGGTCCACCGCGATGTTCACCAGCCGCCTCTGGGCCCGGTCGTACTTCAGGACCAGGTTGGGGCCGTTGTACCTGGAGGAGGCGTGGGGAGGGGTGTCGGGGGGGCGCAGGTGCACCCATTCAGGTCACCCGTGAGGCCAGGAGCTTGGAGACATGCGAGGCCACCTAGCCGCAGAGTGTTCCCGGGGAGCCCTCGCCGCTGAGCCCCGGGGGCCCCTGGGTGTTGGCTGAGTGTCCCTGAGCCCAGGTGCAGAGTTGACTGGGCCCAGGCGGGACACATGAGGAGCAGCCGGCCACAAGCCTGACATAAGCCCCCGGCACTCCCCGGCACTGCAGCCCCACATAAAAGCAGCCACGGGGGCTCTTACGGACCCATCTCACAGAGGGGCAACCGACAAGGGTCATCAAGGACCCCGATGCTCAGAGAGGGTGCGGGCCCTTCCCAAGGTAACACAGCTAGGAAGTGGCGGGTGCTGGGCGCGAACCCAGGCCCTTTCTGCTCTCCCAAGAGCCTTCATGTGAATAAGCCCTGGGGGCAGGAGGCTCGGCTTCAGGCCTGAAGCCTCCGGGGTGGGGAAACCAGCCTCTCTGCGGGAGACCGCCGCACATCTAGTTCCCAGGTTAGCTCTGCCGACCTGTCAGCTCAAAACTGAAGTGCCGGCCCTCACCTTGCCCGCTGTCTCACCCCTGCACCGCACGCCTCCACTCTGCTCTGAGCCCCGGCCATGTTCTTCCTCAGGGCCTCTGCGCTCGCTCTCCTGTCTCGCTCGGGCTCTGTCCTGCTACCTTTCCACACAGCTGGCTCTCCTCTGCTGTTTTTTCTTTTTCTTTTTTTTTTTTTTAAGAGATTTTTGCCTTAGGGTGTATGCACTTGCCAGAGACAGAGACAGTGAGAGGGAAAGCGAGAAATCACCCCTCGGGGAGATGGCCATGCCGCAATCCCTTCTCCTCCATTCTCCTCCTGGGATCTTGGGCACGCACACACCCACGCCTGGCTGAGTTTCAAGTTACCGGGTCCAGGACTAGAACCGCGGTTGGCCCCTTAGGAGTCCAGCAACATAACCATTATGCCCACAGCTGGCTCTCCTTCACCTCCTCGGGCCCTCACTCAATCCTTCTCTCTGAGGCCTTTGCTGCCCACACTCCTGAAACCTGCGACCGCCTGATACCCTGTAACCGCCGCTGCCCTCCCTCCCTGCCGCTTGTACCCAGCTCACAATTCCGGTCTTTCCCTGTCAGGTCCCACTGCAGTGCGAGCTTCCTGAGGGTGAACTGTTCATCCCTCTTGCTCCCCAGCGCCTGCGATGGTGCCTGGCATGGACCTCAGAGCTCACATCTGAGTCACAAGACGGGGTCGTCCCTCAGCCTGTTTCTCCCCTTGCCTTTCCCTTGGAGGGGAGGAGCCCCCAGGAAGGCAGCGTGGCCACGGTCACCTCCAGGCAGCACAGCCATGCAGGACCCCCTCCTGGGCGCACCAGCATGCCAGGCTCTCGAAGGAGCTCGGCCACCCCGTCTGTGGAGTCCCAGCCTCACACCCACGTTTCACCGAGTGCACGGTGGCCAAGAACACCCGGGGAGACAAAGCCAACTGGCCTCGGTCCTTCCAAGACACCCCTTCTTTGCCCTGGAAACAGGGAGGCCCTGTTCGTCAGGGAGCTGCAGAAGGCAGTGCGATGTTGGGGCGCCCACAGTGCATGGAGGAGGTGGCACTGACTGGGGCTGAGTGGGCACTGTGACGCAGGGTCAGGGCTGTGTGGCCAAATGCAGCGTGACCTATGGAGACCGGCCAGGCAGGGCAGACAGACCCCGGGTTCTGGCCTGGCCAGCAGCTGCTTCCCGCCCTGGGGACAGGGTGTGCCTGTGAACACTGGCCCCGAGAGCTCAGGGACCCCTGCTCCGTCACTGCTGGCCTCGTCCGACCGCCACATTCAGATCGGGCTCCTCGAGAGCACCTCCGCCTGCCTCGTGGCACCTGAGTCTCACATCAGCCCAGAAAGGAGGGAGGAGAGGCGTTTTCTTTCTTCCTTCCTTCCTTCCTTCCTTCCTTCCTTCCTTCCTTCCTTCCTTCCTTCCTTCCTTCCTTCCTTCCTCTCTCTCTCTCTCTCTCTCTTTCTTTCTTTCTTTCTTTCTTTTTTTAGAGGTTTTTGCTAAAGGGCGCGTGTGCTCGCCAGACAGACAGAGAGAGACGAAGAGACAGAAAGCGAGAAATCACCCCCCAGGGGGGATGGCCACGCTGCAATCCCTTCTCCTCCTTTCTCCTCTCGGGATCTTGGGCACGCATGCACACATGCCTGGCGTGAGTTTAAGCCACCGGGTCCGGGACACGAACTGCGGTCGACTACGTGGGAGTCCAGCGACATAGCCATTACGCTAACTGTTGGTCCCAGGCGTTTTCTAGACAAGGAAACTGAGGGTCAGAGCGGCCAGGGGAGCGAGGTGCCAGGCCCGCAACCTGGAAGCGGCAGCGCTGGGCCTTTGCCTCTCCAGCGCCTCCCGGTCCGACCCCGTGTCCACACTGCCTGCGACGCTAACGCTTTTGGTCCCGTGCTCTTTGTTCCTGGGAGCCTCCCCCGAAGCAGCGACCTGAGAAATGCCTGAGACCTCATACACGGCGGGGACCGTGATAACCCACACGTCTATAGCACTTCGCAGTTTACAAAGCACCTTCTCACACTCCCCTCTGCTTCTTCAAGGTCCTAGCTGTGCCAGAGGTGAGGCTGGTGACCTCAGGCTCGTTAGTTCTCCCGTCTAGGGGCTGGGCTTCGCTTTTGTAAAATGAGAGAGCAGGGCCACGTCGGAGGGTCATGGCACGTGTGGACAGATGCAGCGATGGGGCTGTGGCTCTGGGCCCTCACTCTGCAGTTCCGTGGTGCTCTTTCATCTCGCCCACCACACCCCACGGCATGCTGCTGGATGGGATTCCAGAGCCAGCGTGTACAAGCCAGTGGCCTGGAAGCTCTGTGGGCCCACAAGTCAGGCTGTGGCCCGAGAGGGAGTGGAGTGAGGTCCCCTCCCCCAGACTGTGGCTGAGGAACTGCCAGATGAAGTCTGGCATCGACCTCCTGCCTCGCACACCTGCCCTTCCTGGAAGGTCTTCGGCTTCCCCAGGAGCCAGTTCCCAGTGGGAGGGGAGGGACCACGTTCTCCCTGCATCTCAGAGGCCAGTCCTTCTGCCCTGATCCTGGAGTGGCTGGGCCACACACAGGGTCCCTGCACCCATGGGCTGGCCCTGGGGAAGCAGATGGCTCTGGAGAACTTGGGGAGTACAAAGGGAGGCTGCCAGGCTGGGTCACTGTTCACTTTCTGAAGGAGTGACCCCAGAGGGCCCCGAATCTGCTCTGGTCTCCCAACCGTCCCTAGGGACTGTAGGCAGAAGCCGGACATCAGCCAAGGCTGGGATCTTGGTAACTGTGGTGCAAGGCCAGGGCGCAGTGGTGCCACCTGCCACCCTCCCCTCCACCAGCTCCCTCTGCCCGGCCTGCTGGAGTGACGCTCAGAGCTGCCCGACTGTCCCTGGGAGAACCAGCTCGTTCCCGCCCCACTTCTCCAGAGCTGCTGTTCCACTCGCTGCCTCACCTCCTGGGATGCGTCCTGCCTTGCCGGTGCCTGTGTCTTTGGTCAGCTGCAGCCACCCCTCCTGGGGAGCACGCTCTCTTGTCCTCCTGTCCCCGCAAAGCCCACATCCTGGCTGGATGTGACCTCCTCCTAGCATTTTGTGCCTCACTATCCGGCGAGGGCAGTTGTCTGCTCCGATACCGCTCACGTGCACGCTCGGTACAACACGAGCTGCGTGGGCCAGAAGCTAAGGGCTGTGCCGAGGAAGTAGGAGTCCACACGGCCTACTGGGGTCCAAATCCCGGCTCCCACAGCAGCGTGCCAGACGCGCACGCCCAGGGCCCTCACAGAATGGGGGATCGGAGGAAGGACTGTGGCATGACCAGGCCCTACTGGGGTGCTCTCTCCCTGTCACTCTCATGTGCCTATACACTCTCTATTATGAATAAAGAAAAAAATTTAGAACAAACAAACAATGTGCTTCTGAGCCCGGGAAGCACGTGGAGTGGCTGTAGCGCTGCCTCTGCTGTGCCTGGGGCAGCTCTGCACACAGAAGGTGCCGGACAACGTCTGCCTGGGGTGCCAATGAGTGACTGGGCTGGCGAACGAATGAGTGACTGGGTGAATAAATGACTGGGTGGGCGAATAAATGGGTGACTGGGCGAATGAATGAATGAAAAAAAGGGTGAGCAAATGAATGCGTGACTGGGTAAATGAATGAATGACTGGGCGAATGAATGAATAAATGAACGAACGAATGGGTGAGCGAACAAATGAGTGACTGTGCAAATGAATGAGTGACTGGGTGGGTGCATGAATGAGTGACTGGGTGAATGAATGAATGAATGAGAGGGTGAGCAAATGAATGAGTGACTGGGTGAATGCATGAGTGACTGGGTGAGTGAATGAATGAGTGACTGGGCGAATGAACAAATGAATGACTGGGCGAATGAATGAGTGACTGGGTGAATGCATGAGTGACTGGGTGAGTGAATGAATGAGTGACTGGGCGAATGAATGAATAAATTAATGGGTGAAAGAATGAATGACTGACTGGGTGAATGAATGAGTGAGTGGGTGAATGAATGAGTGAGTGGGTGAACAAATGAGTGAGTGGGTGAATGACTGGGTGGGTTAGCGAATGAGTGAGTGGGTGAACGCATGAGTGACTGGCTGAATGCATGAGTGAGTGGGTGAACGAATGAGTGAGTGGGTGAACGAATGAGTGAGTGGGTGAACGAATGACTGGGTGGGTGAACGAATGAGTGAGTGGGTGAACGACTGGTGAGTGGGTGAATGAATGAGTGAGTGGGTGAATGAGTGAGTGGGTGAACGACCGGTGAGTGGCTGGGTGAAAGGCCGCGTGAATGAGTGATAGGAAGCACAGGGCAGTGGTAGCAGAGCAGTCAGACGCCCAGCACCGTCCTGAGCACTGCATGCCCGCTCTCATTCCATCATGACACTCTTGACTACGTGTCCTCGAACACTCTGTCTTACAGATGTGGAAACTTTTTTAT